CTGAATCATATGCATCAGAAATATCAATGAAGAGACCAATAGTAGTCATTAAGGGAGAAGCCTATTTGCACTTGTGAAGTAAGATAGACAAGACAATCCGTACAACTCCTGCCTCTTCTGAATCCCAATTGTAAGGGATTAAGAATTTGGTTATTTCCAAATGCCATTCAAGTCGATTTTTGATTAAGGATTCTTAAAAAGATGTTTCTCTAATTTTTACTTTCCTATCTGTATACAGATATAAGGAAAGTATAGGAATCATGATTTTTTTCGACCTCGAGTTTTCGACGGATTTTTACGTTTTGAGGTCCCCTGAATCCGTTTTGACTATTTTCGCGATGATGTCTGTGTGTGTGTGTGTGTGTGTGTGTGTGTGTGTGTGTGTGTGTGTGTGTGTGTGTGTGTGTGTGTGTGTGTGTGTGTGTGTCTGTGTGTGTGTGTGTGTCTGTATAACGCATAACTCATGAACCGATACACGGAAAAACACCAAATTTCAAACTTAAGCTTTATTCCAGCGTCTAATGAGCTGATTAGATTTTGGGCAGAGTCGGAACATCTGGGGGGGGTACTTTATAGGTGGTCATTTTTATATTTTATGGAATATATCTGTTATTTACGTTTGGGGAAGAAAATTTTTCAAATAAAAGTTACTTCTTATTTTATTATCTATAATTTTTGTTATTTACAAAATTTTCCTAAAATGGTCCGTATTCGAGAAATTTGACAAAATGTAAAAAAATATTTTTTTTATAAAAATTGTTCAAACAAAAGTTGTTTGTAATATAATTCTCTATAATTTTTGTCCCATAGATAATTTCTCTAAAATGGACCGTATTCGAGATATTTGAGAAAATGTGTAAATTTCGAAATTTGAAGAAAACTCAAAAACGGATAAAGAAAAAATCAATAAATTTTAAACTTAAGTTTTATTTCAGCCTGACGTGAAATGATTAGATTTTGGACAAAGTCGGAACATCTGGGGGGGTACTTTATGGGAGGCCGTTTTTATATTTTATGGAATATATTATGTTATTTATGTTTGGAGAAGAAAATTGTTCAAATAAAAGTTACTTCTAATATTATTATCTATAATTTTTGCTTTATGTAAAAATTTCCTGAAATGGTCCGTATTCGAGAAATTTGACAAAATGTGCAAAATTCTGATTTTTATGAAAATTGTTGAAATAAAAGTTGTTTGCGATATCGATCTCTATAATATTTGTTCATACATGATTTTTTTTAAATGGACCGTAATGGAAAAATTGTAGGAAAAAGTGCTAAATTTAAATTTTTCAGTATTTTCATTTTCAATGAATATCCATAGAAAAATGTTTCACGGTAGATGTATGTGGACAATGTATATATTTAGTTTATCCTCTAAACATTTATAGAGATGCTGCAATAGGTTGTACACAACAAACGGAAAAAGCCTGTAATAACTAGATAGGAAAGTCATGTGTTGGACACATCAGATTTTTACTTCAATGATCAAATAATTTCGAAATATTTTGAAAATTGTTAGTTGTTTGGAAACTGGGTATGGACAATTTATAGTTATTTTTTATTGACCATCATATACAAATTTATGTGCTTGAATATGACAAATGCATAGAAAATTGTTTATTAATGATCACTTTTATTATATATTGGTTTGATCATTTAATTTTATGTATAGAAAAATGTTTATTAATAGAAAAAATATGGAATGCGTCCAAAACATGACTTTTTATCTCATCAATAAGTGTTATAAATTAAAGATAATTATTTTTTACACACTTTTCATCTCATTGCCTACGAAAAACTAAAAAAAATTAATTTTGCGCTTTTGTCTTCAAATTTTTCAATTACAGTCCATTTTAAAGAAATCATGTATAAGACAAAAATTATAGAGAATAACACCACAAACCACTCTTATTCAAAGAATTTTCTTCTTTAATGATAAATCATAGAAATATACTTTAAAGTAGAAAAACGCTTTTCTATAAAGTACCCCCCCAGGTGCTACGACTATGTCCAATATCTAATCAGCTCGCCGCAAGATGGATTAAAGCCCAAGTTTAAAATTTGGTGTTTTTCCTTTGATACGTTTTTGATTATCGCGGATATAGACACAGAAGCACATAGACACACAGGCAGTCATCATCGTGAAAATGGTCAAAATATTCAGGGGACCCTAAAATTATAAAAAATCCGTCGAAAACTCGAGGTCTAAAAAAACCAGTATTATTACTAATTAATTTATTTATACTTAAACGCTTTTATATTTCACACTTGACAATTTATCTTTATTCGACAACATTTATTTTAAAACAGTACAGCAACACAATTCACTTATATATAAAATGTAACAGCCTAGACAAAATTCAATCCTGGCTAGAAGAATCTCGTTTGTTCGTGAAATCCTTCTTCCATGCATCGTCCTGCGTACAAAAAACATTCCAGTCGATTCTCGATCGTCAGCGGTGACTGTCAACAAAGGACAGGGTTGGACTGATTGCACGAAACTACACTTTTATTGGTTACAGAAAAATTAAAATGTACTAATATGTGTCATTAATGAACGATTTTTAAATAGATTTGTGAAACTCGGTCGTCGTCATACCACATTTTATGATTATGATTAAAGCTTGTGTTAAATTGGTAAGCAATTTGTGATGTTTATTAATATACATTTAACAAATAAAACAAAATTAAATAGTATGAGGCAAAATTTAACGACCAACAATCTGGTATTCAGCTTACGTGATGTCATTTTCGTTTTATCAATCAGTTCTCTATCTAAAAACTTATTCATAATGATGCTAGAGGCAAAATGCATAAATAATAAATTTGCTCGTTCTCAATAAAGCAGAAGTAAAATCTCGTACAACATTAATATAAGTTAAGCAGAAAGTTAGTTGTCATTTATACAGAAAGTAGGTTGTTTGAATAACGCGAATATAGTCATAATATTTAGATTATTTTTAATGCAAACCGCAATTAAAAAAGTATTGTGAATTGATTGTTAAACTGCTAAACATTCATTTATATTTGACCTTAATTAATCTTTATTGATTGCGAACAAGGTGATTTTAAATCGATTCTCCGGGTGTCAGTAGGTAGGTATATAAATATTACAGGGTGATTGTTTCGTTAGAACAGAAAAATCTCTTGGGGCTGAGACAGGCCAAGATACTTCTGGGTGAATATAACCAGAAAAGATCGAAAACCTGCATTTGCCTGAGCAAGAACAGGCTACGTATTGTAACAGGGATCCTTACCGGGCATTGCCGACTAAAAGGACACCTAAGTAAACTGAGAGTAGTAGAGGATAGTGAGTGCAGATTCTGTGAATGTGTAGCACTCCAGAATCCAAGGGAACTATATCTAGGAGGATATCAAATAGAAGAGGGAGATTTACCTAACTTGAAGCCACTTCAAATCCTACACTTCCTTGAGAAAATAGGATTGGAAGGATCGTTATAGGCATTGAGACATTTCCTTAGTGCATTGGCGACAGAAGGGGGTACAATAGATCTTTTAGGTCGCAGTGTATTAACACCCCATTCCCAACATAACATAACATACTACCGATCAATCGGTCTCACGTTTCAAGTGTTATCTCACGAATAATGCATCCAATCTCATTTTGTAATTCTTGAATTATTTGGGAATTGTTTACATATGCTTTACTTTTGATGTATTCCCACAAAAAAAGTCTTGCGGCCTTACATCGCAGGACCTAAGCGGCCAATTAAAATCCCCATTTCTTGAAAGAAATCTATTTTAAAAATATCTGCAATAAATTCATTGTTTATCTTGTTGTGTGAGATGCACTGTCTTATTGGAATCACTTATTGTCAAGATCTAGGTATATGCATTATTTCATGCAACAAAAAGTCTCGAAACATCGTGTGATAACGCTCACGTGAAGATAACACCAGAAATGTGCTTAGCTGTGATCTAAAATTTTGGCAAAAAAGTTGTGCCCTGCCAGAGAAATCGTGGTGGCCATTTGCTCGATATTGTGGTTCACGTATAATTGTAAACGATTATATCACCTATTGCTATAAAATCTTACTTTTTCTTATTTGGTTTTCGCTAGATACACAATACCCAAGCCAGATTCATATTGTTAGCATAAACTGTATGAAATTTAAAATATAGGGTATTTTGGTATTTTTTAGTTACCTCCTTCCATTTTGAAACAAATACCAATGTTCTGAAACACTCAAAACTAGATCGCCTTGCGTATTACACTATACACATGTGTGATTCTGTGGGAAAGAAATTAAATTAGCATTCAAAGAGAATGATTCAGACATTAGAATTAAAGTACACTTGCTTGCAGTTATCTTTCGCAAGGCTGTGTTGGTGCTCGAGTGCATTAATAGTCGTGGTCGTATACAAAATAATGGTGCAACCATAGTTTTTATTTTTTTATTATTGTTATACAAAATTTTAATTTAAATCATGACATCCAGATTTGAGATCTTCATTTTGTTTTTATTAATAATTAAAATAATATACAAATAATAAAAATGAAAAATTAGAAAATTTGGTCAGCTAGCAAGACTTTCCTTGGTATGGTCTGTATAAATAAGAGTTTTGTATTCATTACATGACTTCTGAAATGACTACAGTATTTCAATCGTCAGCTCTTACTCGACAAGTTTAAAAATCAGTAAAAAACAACTGATTAAAAACGATTGTTTTTTTTAATTTTTTATCAGATTACTTATACCTAAAAATTGTGGGATACACGTTAATAAACTTTAATTATATTTAATTTAGTTTTAATTTAGATACTGCACTCCCTTTTAATGACATTGGTTTCACACACGCACTTTTTAATCTCTATTTTCATTTAGTATAATTAACGATGTATCTAAATTACTCTAAATTTAATTACTTTTTATTATATTTACTTTTATTTTCTCGTACCGTCATCCCTACAATGCGTTAAGTACCGTTCGTTGCGCTTAGAAGGAATTCTCATTTTTCTTTTCTCTTTGTTGCAGATTTACTCGGATCCTGAATCAGAGAAGGCTATTATGAGCTCGATTGTCTATTGCATTCATCATAAGGAAGGTTGCAAATGGTCCGATGAACTTAGAAAACTGAAGGTAATAAGTGAAGTCAACCTAAATAATTATAAACCATTTAAATTATTCTTATTGCATATTTTATATTGGAAGTTTTGAGTTTCGACACTTAGCAGAATATTTTTTTTTGTTAGACGTTGGATTTCATTTTTTACAGAAACACAGTTTTAGCATAACTATAAAATAATAATAATAATAATAATAATAATAATAATAATAATAATAATAATAATAATAATAATAATAATAATAATAATAATAATAATAATAATAATAATAATAATAATAATAATAATAATAATAATAATAATAATAATAATAATAATAATAATAATAATAATAATAATAATAATAATAATAATAATAATAATAATAATAATAATAATAATAATAATAATAATAATAATAATAATAATAATAATAATAATAATAATAATAATAATAATAATAATAATAATAATAATAATAATAATAATAATAATAATAATAATAATAATAATAATAATAATAATAATAATAATAATAATATAGGGGGGTGGGTTGGCTCAGTGGTTAGAGTCATGACTTTGAGATCGGAAGGTCTCAGGATCGAATCCCACCGTTGGCCGGGATTTTTTCATTTAATTTAATTATTTAAAATTAATTCTGATGCCTTGGTAGGATTCCCCACTCGACCATTCACTGTTGGGTTCTAATTAACAGTGCTGTTCCTAAAGTGGCGCTGGGAAACAGTAACAAAGCCTACACAGAACACGAGGCTAATGGCCGTAGTAGTCGACGCCAATGACACCAAAATAAAAAAAAAAAAAAAAAAAAAAAAAAAAAAAAAAAAAAAAAAAAAAATAATAATAATAATAATAATAATAATAATAATAATAATAATAATAATAATAATAATAATAATAATAATAATAATAATAATAATAATAATAATAATAATAATAATAATAATAATAATAATAATAATAATAATAATAATAATAATAATAATAATAATAATAATAATAATAATAATAATAATAATAATAATAATAATAATAATAATAATAATAATAATAATAATAATAATAATAATAATAATAATAATAATAATAATAATAATAATAATAATAATAATAATAATAATAATAATAATAATAATAATAATAATAATAATAATAATAATAATAATAATAATAATAATAATAATAATAATAATAATAATAATAATAATAATAATAATAATAATAATAATAATAATAATAATAATAATAATAATAATAATAATAATAATAATAATAATAATAATAATAATAATAATAATAATAATAATAATAATAATAATAATAATAATAATAATAATAATAATAATAATAATAATAATAATAATAATAATAATAATAATAATAATAATAATAATAATAATAATAATAATAATAATAATAATAATAATAATAATAATAATAATAATAATAATAATAATAATAATAATAATAATAATAATAATAATAATAATAATAATAATAATAATAATAATAATAATAATAATAATAATAATAATAATAATAATAATAATAATAATAATAATAATAATAATAATAATAATAATAATAATAATAATAATAATAATAATAATAATAATAATAATAATAATAATAATAATAATAATAATAATAATAATAATAATAATAATAATAATAATAATAATAATAATAATAATAATAATAATAATAATAATAATAATAATAATAATAATAATAATAATAATAATAATAATAATAATAATAATAATAATAATAATAATAATAATAATAATAATAATAATAATAATAATAATAATAATAATAATAATAATAATAATAATAATAATAATAATAATAATAATAATAATAATAATAATAATAATAATAATAATAATAATAATAATAATAATAATAATAATAATAATAATAATAATAATAATAATAATAATAATAATAATAATAATAATAATAATAATAATAATAATAATAATAATAATAATAATAATAATAATAATAATAATAATAATAATAATAATAATAATAATAATAATAATAATAATAATAATAATAATAATAATAATAATAATAATAATAATAATAATAATAATAATAATAATAATAATAATAATAATAATAATAATAATAATAATAATAATAATAATAATAATAATAATAATAATAATAATAATAATAATAATAATAATAATAATAATAATAATAATAATAATAATAATAATAATAATAATAATAATAATAATAATAATAATAATAATAATAATAATAATAATAATAATAATAATAATAATAATAATAATAATAATAATAATAATAATAATAATAATAATAATAATAATAATAATAATAATAATAATAATAATAATAATAATAATAATAATAATAATAATAATAATAATAATAATAATAATAACAATTTATTCATTTAAAATAAATGATCTTAATTTTAGAATATTGCATATATAAGAAAACATACACCATGCATCTGGTTCGGTTATATTTTCTAATGCATAGATTAACGCCTCCAGATTGTTTAAAATAATTATAAAATACAATATACATTTCGTTATAATATCAGTCTATGAAATCACACAACACTTCCATTTTTCCAGGGTTCTAAATCCTCGGGAATTAATTATCCGTCTGGCTCACACCGAAGGTGTCAAAGATCCAATCCCAACAACCCCCCCCCCAAGCTCCATAATCGGCAATATCAACCCCCCGAAAATCCAAAAAATAACTACCCTAATCCAAGATAATGTCTTATAGTTGACCCAAACCTAGCTCTGTGAAGCTGACCCCTCGAAATTCGAAAATTTTAGTTTTAGAAGCGGCATACGTTTGACCACCTATTGACCATGTTTGACCACCCACTAACTTTTTTTGACCACCCTCCTAAACCTAAATATTTAAAAAAATATTAATGGCCGAGTGCCCTCTGTCCTCACGAAGTAAATATTTTTTATTATGGTGCAATAAGATTAATCAATTTTTGACCATGTTTGACCACCCCTTAGATGTTTTTTAACACCCCTTAAAATTAGAGAAAAACAAGAGTTCTGGGATGAATTTCAACTTTGAAAGATAGATCATAAGCCAGAAAGGCACAATAGGATCCAAAAACGTTTAAAATTATGTATCGCCGTTTGAACGCTCCCTAAAATATCTTAAAAGACCTCAGAGGGGTTAAAAATTCAAAGAAAATATTTCCCAATCCAATTTCTAGTTCAAAAAAATGGTCAGTCGACATAACGACATAATAAATATCCATAAAGGTTTAAAATTATGTTTTGACCACCCCCTAAAATAATTTTTGTGTTTCTAAGTAGTGCGAAAATTCGAAAAATACAATTTGGAAAGGGCATTTTGACTTGGAAAAAAACGACATATGTGCACAATAAAGATCCATAACAATTCAGAATTATGTTTTGAAAAATTAATGTAGTGTATCGAATTTTGAATTGAAAAAAGTGGTCTAACGACATGTATGCACAATAAGGGTAGTGTGAAAATTCGAAACTTCGACATTTTTGAAATCTTATTTCGACTTTACGAAACAATAAGTTACACATGCCCTTATGATATATGTTATGCATTGATTTCCAATTCTAAATCATTATGAATCTTTATTGTAAACTTATGCCCTTCGACCATTTTTCCAAGCCGAAATTCGAATTCCAAATTTTATTTTTCGAATTTTTACATTACTTGGGCATGTTAAAATTATTTTAGAGGGTGGTCAAACATCAAAACCTTATTTTAAATCGTTATGAATTTTTATTGTGCACTTATGTCGTTTGACTATTTTTTCCAGGTCAAAATTCCGTTTCCAAATTTTATTTTTCGAAATTTCATACTACTTTGAAACACTAAAATTATTTTAGGGGGTGGTCAAACATCAAAACATAATTTTAAACCATTATGGGGCCTTACTGTACATTTATGTCGTTTGACCATTTTTCCAAGCCGAAATTCGAATTCCAAATTTTATTTTTCGAATTTTTACACTACTTGGGCCCATTAAAATTATTTTAGAGGGTGGTCAAACATCAAAACCTTATTTTAAATGGTTATGAAATTTTATTGTGCACTTATGCCGTTTGACTATTTTTTCCAGGTCAAAATTCGATTTCCAAATTTTATTTTTCGAATTTTCATACTACTTTAAAACACTAAAATTATTTTAGGGGGGTGGTCAAATATCAAAACATAATTTTAAACCATTATGAGGCCTTATTGCGCATTTATGTCGTTTGACCATTTTTTCCAAGCCGAAATTCGATTTCCAAATTTTATTTTTTGAATTTTCACAATACTTGGGAACATTAAAATTATTTTAGGGGGTGGTCAAATGTCAAAACATATTTCTAAATCGTTATGGATCTTTATTGTAAACTTATGTCGTTTGAACTTTCTTTCTAAGCCGAAATTCGATTTCCAAATTTTATGTTTCGGATTTTCACACTACTTAGAAACACTAAAACTATTTTAGGGGGTGGTCAAACATCAAAACATAATTTTAAACCATTATGGGTCCTTATTGTGTATTTAAGTCGTTTGACCATTTTTTTCATACCGAAATTCGATTTCCAAATTTTATTTTTCGAATTTTCACAATACTTAGAAACACTAAAACTATTTTAGGGGGTAGTCAAACATCAAAACATAATTTTAAACCATTATGGGGCCTTAATGTATATTTATGTCGTTTGACCATTTTTTCCAAGCCGAAATTCGATTTCCAAATTTTATTTTTCGAATTTTCACACTACTTGGGCACATTAACATTATTTTAGGGGATGGCCAAACGTCAAACTTAATTCTAAAGTAGTATGGATCTTTATTGTGTACTTATGTCGTTTTTCATTTTTTCCAAGTCAAAATGCCCTTTCGAAATTGTATTTTTCGAATTTTCACACTACTTTAATTTTTCAAAACATAATTCTAAATTGTTATGGATCTTTATTGTGCACATATTATTATGTCGTTTTTTTAAAGTTAAAATGCCCTTTCCAAATTGTATTTATCGAATTTTCACACTACTTAGAAACACAAAAATTACTTTAGGGGTGGTCAAACGTCAAAATATAATTTTTTTTATTGGTACCCTATTTACTTATTTAAAGTACGCCTCAGCGTGTTTAAAACGAACTATAAAAAACGCGCGTGTTTTAAAGTTACCATGGCAACATCAACAGCCCGAGAAACGTGATGTCTAAATGCCAACTTTTTAAATATTGATCTGACAGGAGTGCCTTGTAATGTCAAATAAAATATTTCTGAGAAATTTTTCAAAAAATTTATTCAAATATTTTTTCACATTCTTAATTGTTTAAATGAATGTGGAAAGTACAGTTAGTATTGTTTGAAATATTAAAACTTCGGTTTTTTAAATCAGAGGAAATACTGTTCAAATTAAGATTGCTAACATTCTTGGAAGTCAATGAAGTTGTACTTCCATTAATAGCACTTCCAATAATATTTGAAACATTCTTCTTATTGCTAATGCTCTCTTCAACGTAATCAGTCGCCACAGCTGCCAATTTCCATCCTACTTATCGTTGGATTTGATCTATTGTCATGCCATTATTCGCCATAATGGTAGCGGACGTACGTACTGTTCCGACATTTTCTGGAGATAGGCGAGAACAACTCGTTCATCTATATGTGTAACCATTTGCTCTTCCAGCCACGTGTTGAATTTATCGTATTTTTTTTATAAACCGCTTCGGATTTTTGTGGTATTATTAGATATTTTAGGGAGTGATCAAACGGCGATACATAATTTTAAAGGTTTTTGGATCCTATTGTGCCTTTCTAGCCTATGATCTATCTTTCAAAGTTGAAATTCATCCCAGAACTCTTGTTTTTCTCTAATTTACCCCCTTCGAATTATTTTAAGGGGTGTTAAAAAATGATAATAAAGATATTGTTTATTTTTATTGTAAACTTTTTTTAAGGATATTCGAGGAAAAAATTAATTTCACCCAAATGTCCGGGGTTTTCAGGTTTTTGTCCGGCGTCGGCAATTTAGTTGTTGGCAGTCCTAAATTTAACCCCACTATCCATCTAATAGCAAATACACATAATCAAAATAATAAAATTTAAAAACCAACATACTGGTTTAGAATTATGATATAGGTTTTGTTATCTCTGGGTTTCTGTAAATCATATTTTCCTTAAATAGCACAATTAGCATGCTTTTGGAAGAAAATATCTAGCCAGTTCTGCTTCTTTCACTAAGGAACGATAATATGTACTTTTTAATTATCTATGGATATATTTGCTTCCATTCATTTTGTGACTGTTTAATCTTACTGCAGTTGCCTGCTAACCTTCAGATTCTTCAGAAAGAGGAGCAATTATTCCATGTCTTGTTAATTTTATCTTCAGCATCTTTACTTTAATAAGTAATATTTTAAGTACAATTATTTAAGGAGCTTTGGAGCAAAACCAAATAAATCCACTTTTTTATTTTTGAAAACTTAAGTTAGCGTTGGATTTCAACTGATTTTGTTAAACTACACCGAATAAATCTTTTTAAAATTTAAGGACGAAATCGAAGTTTTCGTGCAAAACGGAATAAATCCACTAGTATAGTAGTGTTAAAAAAGCACCAGCATTTGCTGCAATTTAAAAACAGTTTTATTTTTCTTTAGTTTGAGATATTTTGAGTTTTGATTTGACTAAAACTGAATAAATCTATTTTTGTTATATTATATAGGTAATTTTTCAAAATTATAATTGATATTATTATTATTAATTACGTTATTATTAATACCGTCTTTTCTAATAAAACAAACCAAAAAAAATCAGTACTTGATGTTTTTTCCCAAAAATCGTTTATACTTAGTGACTTTATTTGCTTTTGCTCCAAAGTTCTTCCAACGCTCCTCATTGATGCAGTTTAGTGCCGCGTTGTAATTGGTTCAAATAATTTAAAAAACAAATACATAATTTCGGTTCAATTGGCTTTAAAAAGACCAATAAATAGTTCTAATTTAAACTCTTTTTTGTTTTTAGGGTCATTTAAATACTTGCAAACACGATGCCATCCCTTGCACAAGTAAATGCGGAGCTCAAATTCCCAGGGTTCTAATGGAAGACCACCTCAAGTATACCTGCCCTCAAAGACGAACTAGATGTGAATTTTGTAACAAGGAGTTTACTGGACATTCATTAGAAGTACGTAAAATGATCTGAGCAACTAGATATAAAATTAAAAGATTTCATACTATTCCAGGCACAACAAATCCTCTATATTTTATGTTTGCCCATATGTGTGAAGAAGATGTGTGATATGATTCTAATTACAAAATATTCACACAACATGTGTGGTATTTGCATGCTTCATTAAGAACACTATAGTCCTAGCATCAGCATTTTTATCTGTGTCTGTGTTTACACTCAAGAAACTGTTTTGCATATGGCATCCTGCTTCTTAGATGAAATATAAAAACAGAAATGTTAATGAACTAATAAATTTTATAATTTACAATCTGACATGTCTTATCTAAATGCAGTTGAAAATTGTTATCAAAAACAAGTATGATAAGAAGTATATGCATCTGTCTCAAATGATTTAAGTTGACCATTATTATGTGAGAGACAGGAAAAGGAATCAGTTATTTATAAACTACTATCTTTGATAACAAAAATATTGAAATTGGGCAAAGTAAAAGAAATAACTAATTTGCAAATTTTATTTTAACATCAAAAGTAATATAATGCAACTAATAAAAATAAGTTACACAAATAGATAATAACAAAAATATTATATGAATAATGAAAGTAATACAAGGTATTAAATACAAGTAATAAAATGAAGTAAACGTGATAATTGCATGATTGTAAAATAATGTTAATGCATTGTAGTTTTTATTTCAATTTAAAATATTACACCACATGAATAAGACATCATTTGTCTAATAATTGCATAAGAAAAGAAGGCTATTTGTGATGCAACTGGCACAAAATAATAAGTATGCTTTTTTAATTAAATAAAATATTAAAATATGAAAGCTTTTGTAGTCTACAAAAAGGTTTAGCCAAATAAACTCTGTATTAACACATTCTTCTCTTATATCGGCCGGTGTTAGCCGATACTCGCCGAACACAAATCTTCTAATAAATAAAAGCGTTGAGCAATCGTAAAGGATATGCTCGATGAGAACATCGAGCATATCCTTTACAATTGTTCAACGCTCTCATTCTTTCTGAATTAGGGCGTGGTTCAAAGCTCTAGGCTTATTGTACCCCTCTCAGTTTCTATCCCATCAGATTGAGTTTCTTGATGAATTCAATAATATGTCTGATGGACACTTTCGCGATTTCTTCAGGTTCCGGATATTGTACCCCGAAGTATCATTCCCGTTCCCATTTAAGGTTCCGACAGTGGCACAGTATGTGAAGAAGAGTTTCGTCCTCCTCTTCACATATTCTACTTATGGACTCATCAGATATCCCTAAGAGATTTAGATGTCTTCTAAGACCGCAGTGTCCTGTAAGGAGTCCTACTACGGCCTTGAATTCGCTTCTGCTAAAGTTTAGCAGTTGATTTTGTCTGCTCGTGGATGCTCTATGAATCTTTTGGACTGTCTAAGTCCAGGAAGTTCCAACCAGAGCCTATGGTGTTCTCTTTTTGTTTTTTTTCCTTTAACACTCATTTAACATGTTGGTATGAGATACCACATCGTTCATTTGGAAGAAAAGGGTTACATCTCAAAAAACTTCAATTTTGAGATTTCAACCAAAATATATTTATAAATTATCTCATGTATTACAGGGAAAAAGGGAACAAGTTAGCTTAACAGCACCAGAGAGCAGATGTAACGCTCTAGTTTTTAGGCTTACCAAATTATTTAAATTTGCTCTTTTGTAAAATTATTGTTTTTTAGATATAACCCTCTTCTTCCAAATGAACGACATGTGGGTTCTGGTCCAATAAGCGTTTTTTCCACTCTTTTCCTTGCTAGGAGGTCTGCTTTCTCATTTCCAAACACTTCCTCGTGTCCCGGCACCTATTCAAGAGTGACCTTGTTATGTTCTTCCAGGGCCTGGAGGGACTGTTGGCAATCAAGTATTGATTTAGATTGTACTTCTACCCTTTTCAGTGTTTTAAGGGCTGCCTGACTGTCTGTCATGATAAAGACCCTCTTATCTCTAAAAGAGTCATTTAGCATGACTTTGGCGCAGGCATTTATTGCTGTTACTTCAGCCTGGAAGACTGTTTTCAGTGACCCCAGGTTCAGACTAATGGTCCTCCCTGAGTTCACATGGTAGATCCCAGCTCCCGTGCTGTTTTTCATTTTCGAACCGTCTGTATACCAGATTGATTCGTTTTGTTTTTCCCTATTTTCCCGGCTTCTAACCCTTTCTGGTATTTGAATATTTAAAGGTTTCCTGAAGTCGTGAATAATGGGCTTTCTATCTGATAGCATTCTTAGTACCGGATTTTGTTTTAATTTCTCTAATATTATTGTGTGGTGGACTTTTCTCAAAAGTTCCCATCCAAATCCATTAGCAAACAGCCTATATGCCTCCGCCATAGCCTCCTTCTCCACCACAAGGTGTAGTGGAGGAAGATCTAGCAGTAGTTATATTGCTGCTGTTGGCTTAGTTCTAAATGCCCCTGTTATTATTAGACAGGCTAGTATGTACCTTGTCTAATTTTCTGTTAGCTGTTATGCTTTTAGTCTTGTGCCATCATATGACTGATGAGTAAGTTATAACAGGTACTACAACCATAGTGTAAAGCCAGTGCATCATACTTGATTTGAGTCCCCATATGTTCCCTACCATCCGTCTTACAGCCTTTTCTATTGTTTTTCTATATAGCTGCTGAAGCTAAGCTTGTCATCAAGAGTGATTCCAAGATATTTAACCTCTTTTGCCTTTTTTAGATGTTGTCTCCACATATAAGCTCCTTCATTCCTTAAAGATTCTTTTTTCTTGTGAATGCAACAACAGAGGTTTTTGTCAGGTTTGTGGACAATCCCTTCTTTATGCACCATCTTTAGATGATATTTAGTGCCCACTGCATCCTGTCAGATACAAAATACCCAAATTTACCGTTTACTACGATGCTTATGTCATCTGCAAATGCTTGCGTGTATAAGTTTTCTCTCTCTAACTCCCATAAGAGGTCTTCAACGCTCTCATTTATTAGAAGATTTGTGTTCGGCGAGTATCGGCTAACACCGGCCGATATAAGAGAAGCACCTCTTGTCGACGTTGTCAACTACATTAAATATGTAGGCTGGCTCACGAGCTAGGAGGTGCCTATTATCTTAGGAGGATACACAATGGGCCTAGTGAGGACTAAGTGCCGTGGGGGGTAACCCACCCTCCACACGTTACAGATACAGATAGCACATTCTATTTAGACCAATCAAATTAGGTCAAAAATTATGGTATGTGAAAAAAAAATTGCCATCAAGCCTGTTTTTAGCTTTATTGTTTGTACAGTTGAACAATAGTTATTTTTGAACCAAGGCCGTAAAGTTAATCTTTTTGGTCAAATTGCGGCCCAGGCGTAGCCCAGGCCCAGTAACTTGCCAAAAAAAAATGTGACCAACATTTTTTAGGCGATTGTCTCATCAAATAGATCCAACACTTTTTTTTTTCATTATTGTTCCTGAAAAGAGACTTAAATGCAAGATAGTTTCAAATATTTATTGATTAAATAAAAAACCTATTGTTAAGTAATATAATTTGTACAGAATTATTAATTAAGTTTGAAAAAAACTTGTTTCACTTTCAATTTAAAAAAATCTAACCTAATGTCATTTCTGGTAAAACCGGAAGTCAACCATTTTGTCTAAGTGTAAATTCAAAATCAGGTCTAGTATGTTTGTTGCAAATTTGATCCAAACTTCTTAATAAATAAAACAGATATTAACGTAGCCCTAGTTTCATTGTCATTTGGTATATAGACTTTCACATCTTATTTTGACTCAAAGCATGGTATAATATTTGCATCTTTCTATTAGTAGTTACAAAAAGTTATTGAACGAATTATTAATTATCAATTAAAAAAATAGTTCCAGAATTTTTTTCTGCCAAATTTTTGGCTGTTAAATTTGGGTAACATTATTTCTGATTAGCTTCCACTCAGTTATTAATTTCGAAAGGGGTTCAGTACTACAACATTACTCTTAGATTTAACAGATAACATTATAAGATTAATGGATGAAGGAAAAGCTACAGCAGTTACTCTGCTTGACTTTTCTAAAGCGCTTGACACTATAGATCATCAGCTTCTTTGTGCCAAACACAAATATTTTGGTTTCAATGAAACCGCACTAAGAATTTTCAAATTTTATTTAAGTTACCGTTACCAAAAAGTAACGTTAGAGAAATAATCTAACTTTATGTGCGTAACATCAGGAGTACCCCAAGGCTCTGTCCTTGGTCCCCTTTTTACATATATCAGACCTTCATTATTGAAGCATGTAAATATACACTCTTTTGCTGACGACACCCAACTATATTATTTCTTTGACCCATCTGAAGGAGATATAGCCTCGCAAAACATGAATTTAGATCTAAATGCAGTATATATATATATTTTTTTCTATGAATCATAACCTTAAACTAAATGCCAGTAAATGTCATACAATATTATTTTGTCCCACAAATATAGAACATAATGTACAACAGAACCTTAAGTTATTCATTTAAAATGAACCTCTAAAATCATGTAGAAGTGACAACTTAGGCATTATCTATGACTGCAAACTAAGGTTTCAGGATTATGTTTCGCTTCTAGTCAAAAAATCGTATCTGGTTATTGTCAATTATACAGGAATCGAGGTATTTTGAGTTTCAAAATACGTAAGTTGCTCTGTGAAAGTCTTGTATTGTCCATCCTAAATTATGGACTATCCTTGTTTAGATCAAATAACCAAATACAGACTTCAAAAGATTCAAAACTCTTGTTGTCGTTTTGTATTTGGTATCAGAAAGTATGATAGAATATCAAATAAAATTAAAGAACTTAGCTGGCTCAATATAGGAAATTTATTTAAATATCAGATGGCGGCCACGGTATTTCGAATTCTTTCAACCTCAACTTCCATATATTTAAAAAATAAATTGATATATCGGAAAGATCTGCACAGTTTACATTTGAGATATCCACACAATTTAACGATTCCGAATTACGGAATATCATTTTTCAAAAGATCTTTCACATATAATGCCGTTTCAATAAATTAGGACACCTCTGACATTTTTAAAACAAAATTATAATACGTTGCTATTAGTTGAGCAATGAATGCAGTGTTAACGTTAATATGTTACTAATTTCAAACATCATACATTTTTCTTGTTTTTGTATTTTAAAAATAATGGATTTTTGGACCTAATTGATTCCAGTTTAGATTAAATATAGGGTTAACATGTTTTAATCATAAATTAATTGTATATTAAATTTCTTATTTTTTTTTTATATTGTAAATGATGGATACCTTTTGATTATTTTAAGTTCATATGTATGTTGAGGTTAAGTGGTAGCGCAAAGCTAGATCGCTTCATGATGTTTATGTGCATTGTATATAAATGCATTTTTTTAATATTATAATTATTTAAAACATGAAACAAACTATAGTAGTAGTATTTTGTTAATGTTTGTGCGTTTTTATGAAAATGTTCCTTAAATAATTATTCTATTTTCATTTTAGAATCATGCAGGTCACTGTGGATATGAACCCATGTATTGCGAAAACAAATGTGGCATGAAAGTTCATAGGAGACACCTTAGTCAACATAAAGTCGGCGATTGTTCAAAAAGGCTAGTACCCTGTAGATATTGCTCAAAAGAATTCGTAGCCGATACCCTACCAGCACACCATGTAAAATGTGGAAGAGTACCTGTCCAGTGTCCCAATCGGTAAGTTCAAAGCAAGTTAATTTACAAAATGAAATTTTCTTTATTTTGTTTTAAATAGCTAAATCAAATAATAATTATAACTTATATAATCCGAGTATAAATTATTATAATCAAAGAAAAAAAGCTTTTATAGTCAAATATACCGCCTAAATCTAGACAACACGTTATACAAGTTAAGTATGTTCAGTGATCTATTTAATGTGGTTTAATGAGTCACAAAACAACTAATGATGTTGATGCAAATAATATAATATGAGAGATATTAGTTGTTAAATATTAAATATTACAACATACAAGTTCAAAATAACAAGGAAATTATCTTGTAAATAAAAATTGAGAAAGATTTGTCATTTATTTTTAAAATATATAATTTTTCAGTATTAAATAGTAAACTGAATCACTTTCCTTTATTTTCAACCAATCTCCCTTAAAATATTAATAATTATTTACAACAAATAAAAGTCTAATAACTTACTTAAAAATTTTCAGATGTGATGCCAGCGTTCTCGCCCGCGAAGAACTAGACACTCACCTGAAAGAAGAATGTACAGTTTCAGTGCATAGTTGTAACTTCAAAGATGCAGGATGTAGATTTAAAGGTCCAAGATATGTCATAGAAAAACATTTAGAAGAGAATTGCCAGCAGCATTTGACCCTAATGTGCAATATGGTTTCCAAACAACAACACCAAATTACGTCTCTGAAGAGCGCCATCTCGAGGTTGTCTTTGAATTATTCTGGAACGCTTATCTGGAAAATTAGCGACTTTACAGCTAAAATGACCGAAGCTAAGACGAAGGAGGGGATGGAATTGGTATCGCCACCTTTTTATACTAGTCAATATGGTTATAAACTTCAGGTGAGTTTTAAAACAGCTTGTTTTGATTAGTAAAAAATATACGCAATATTATTATGTACGTATTATTTTGCATGATATATGTTTGTATAAATAATATATAATAATTCAGTCTGCAAGAAGCTTGTATTGTTGTAAAATGACACGATTTATAAAAAAAATTATGCACATTTTTCTAGACTCAGATCACTGCTTACAAATAGTAAAAATAATAATTACCTACATTTTTAGTTCAAGGCATAAGCTTATGTTTATTTTGAAAAATATGGATGATCAATCTATCTTTTTCATTGACCTTGTCAAATCACCAGGCCTACAGGGTTGCCATAATTTTGCCGTATCATAACCTGCCAAAACCCACTGGTAGCCATTTTATTTGGAATGCCTAATAAGGCATTCCAACGACCTGTCAAAATACTGACAAGTGGGAACTGACGTTTAGATATGGCAACCTTGGGGCCTGCTGTTATTGACAGGTTCAATGTTATATATATTGGGGGTTATAATTGACAACCTGTGTTATTTTTAACAGGTCTGTTATTTTATAAACACACAGAAATAACAACCTGTTCACAAATAACGTGTCTGTTAAAAATAACATTATTTGTCCAACATAACTGCGATTGTTGTTGTGTTGTATAGATTGCTAAAAGCGGGTCCTTTTGCGAGCGGTTGTTTTGCCTCCCAAGTGCTAATTAATCAGAATCAGTCTAGCAAAATTGTATTTTAAAACCAATTATCAGCTTTTGAATATAGTAAAAAAATAATTACCTACATTTTTTACTTCAAGGCATAAACTTTAACTATCTATTTCGTTGGCCCTGTCAAATCACTAGGCTTACAGGGTTGCCATAATGTTGCCATATCATAACGTGTCAAAACCCTCTGGTAGCCATTTTGTTTGGAATGCCTAATTGAAAGGAATTAAAAAGTAGATGTATATATAATAAATAATCCAACAAAGTGTAGTCGAAACATTTTGAATTTAAATATACTTATTAATATGATTCTAAACTTGAATATAATTTTCAATTCATATCAGTAATTATTTCAAATGCCATTTTGTTCGTATTTGAATTTTCCTGAATACTAAATTTGATTCTTACTCATTGATTTCTAGAATTATTATTATTTTTTTTTAATCAATTTGGAGACAACGTTTTAGACATACAATATAGCTATTATTAATCATGCAAGGAATCTCAAATATTGCTCAAAATGTAAACTTCCATCATTTTCCTCAAGAGTCTGGTTAAAATGTGATTTGAACTTTGATTGAAATTTACCAAAATAAAAATAAAAAAGTGTTTGAATTTTAAAAGAAATTATTATTATTAATACCTGTAATATTTTAATAAATTGATTTATATTTGATTGAAAAATAATTTTGAATTTATTTCTAGGCATCCCTCTTTCCTAACGGTAACGGAGCAGGTGAAGATTCCCACATTTCAGTCTACATAAAAATTCTTCCAGGAGAATACGATGCTTTACTCAGATGGCCCTTTTCCCACTCAGTCTCATTCACACTTTTCGACCAATCAACTTGTCCCGAAAAAGCATGTAACATAGTCGAAAGTTTCATCCCAGACCCAACCTGGAAGAATTTCCAAAGGCCCAGCAGAGAGCCTGATTCCTTGGGCTTCGGTTTCCCTAAATTTGTCTCACATGAAATGTTAAAGAAGAGACATTTCATGAAAGATGACACATTGTTTATTAGGGTCAAAGTGGATCCTAGTAAAATTGTAGCCGTGTAAATGTTTGGATATGTTATTAGTTTTTGATCTCATCTTGTTCTTGTTTTTGTGTAAATACTGTAAAAATGTATAAAATAAAAAATGTATAACGAAAGACTGGTTGAAAAACAAAATTCGGACTGTATGCTGATACGTTTGGAAAGTTTAGTCATAGTATTATGATATTATTAAATTCTGTTTAAATGAATTAATAAAAAAATTCAGTACCTGTTTATAAGAAATGAATTTTGAAGAAAACTAGTGTGTTTTAATGTAATTAAACAAATTTACTAAAATGTTATGAAACAGCAATGGCATTTACATGTATTTTTCAAATAGAAACAGGCTAAAGATCTAAATTCGTCATTATGTATAGTTTTACGAATCACATTGAGAAAAAACTGACAAATTTCGTATATGTTACTCAAAGTGTCGACTATACTTTTTCTACGACAAATTAATACATTTAGTTTCAATTTTCATGAAATGAATTAATGTCTAATGTAATTTATATAAAGTATAAAGTTTCTTTTTTGTCACCAACAAAATTTTAATCATTCAATTCTATACGCGATTGTGCCTAAAAATAGTCTTTTGTCGTTCTACTACATTAGAATTTTTACAGTAACGGTGTAGAAAAATCTATTTAGTTATATCTTTAGTTTGTTCTGTATGAATATATAAGGTGAGAATATTCACTTATCTTCAATTTAATGAATATCAAGTTTTTTTAGCATTGATGGCTGATTTATTTTATTCTAAAGAATGTTTCTTTTTTTAATTTTACAAATATTTGCTTTTAATTTTTATTATAGAAACTCATTTTCAGTTTAATGTTGTACCTACCTGTACATTTTATAAATACAGAATTTCATAGTTTTGTTTATTATTTTGGAAAGTTAGAATGCTCAGGATATGCTGTAAAAAGTGTTCAAAATTGTTATTTATGTATTTTTTGATTTGTGATAGCTGGAGAACACCAAAGTTTTGTTTACATACATTTTTCTTAGTGTAAATATAGCGTTTATATGGAAAAATTGTACATGGTACATATATCTTAGTCATTTTTTAGATTTAGTTTTGTATTTTGTAACTGGGTTATAATTCCAGTTTAAAAATAAATCTTTAACACTGACTTTTGTTTTATTTTTTATCACGACATAAAAACAAACATAAAAATGTACAATTAGGCCTTTTTATGTACCATTTACCCTAACACAATAGCTACTTGTGTATTAAGAGCGTTAAGTGATACTGTGCATAGCGAAGCGCGGCAATTTGTCGAAAGCGGCAACGACCTTTTCGCTCAAAATTTTTTTCTATGATCACACTTTTTTAAGAAATAAAAACTGAAAATTTGTCGTAAGTGGTGTATAATGTATTGCCTATATCTACGTTAATCATGAAAAAAGCAGTTGATATTCAAAGTCCATGTCAAAGAAATAGAGGGTTGCATACTTTGATTTTCTCTTACTATACGGAGAATGGACGCACTGCGCAGCTTTCTTAGTTCCTTTTAAAAGGAGATAGAAAACTCCGCCATCTTGGCGCAATATTTTTAATATTTTGCTTGCTGCTGTCAGGCGAGTTCGGATAGTTAGGGACTGGAGCGGGACAAAAGCGGAGTTTTTAGGGTGCTTTTAAATGGCATTTAAGCGTGTTAAACTGTCACTAATCGGACTAAACCGAACGCTAAAAGGGTCGTTTGGAGTGAAAAGTGTTAATGGAGTTAAAGGAACTTGGCAGGCCGAACGCAATGAGTGAATATTATTTTTGGAGTCACAGTTTATTGCTAAAGAATCAGTTAGCTCACTCGGACCAGTTGAAAGTTCCAAAATAACATCCACTCCAGGGATACAAATTCAGAATGCGCAGAAGACTGCTGTTTTATTATAGGCGGTTGTCATATATTGTATTATTCGAGTTGCGCAGTGTATAAACTAGAACATTGAGATCAAAAGTGCCGACGCAGAGTGAGCGAACTGATTCTTTAGCTATAAACTGTGGTAAAGGCATCAAAATGGCCGCACCCTATGTTGGGCGTGTCGGACCTCTCTCTTGCACCGTATACTAATCAAAGTATGTGCCGCGCCCTATGTTGGACGTGTCGAATCTCTCTCTTGCACCGTATAGTAATCAAAGTATGTGTAGAGGGTAGAATAATAAGGTACCGTCTGCGCATCCATCACTAGTGTAGAAATTATGCATGATTCAACCTTCCACTCTTACACACGTAAATGACAAGGAGAGGTTGCCCTAAAGCACTGTAAACACATACTTTGATTACTATACGAGGCAAGAGAGAGGTCCGACACGCCCAACATAGGGCGCGGCCATTTTGAACCCTGTGACACAGTTTATAGCTAAAGAATCAGATCGCTCACTTTGCGTCGGCACTTTGGATCTCAATGTTTCAGTTTATACACTGTGCAACTCGGATAATACAATATATGACAACCGCCTATAATAAAACAGCAGTTTTCTGCGTATTCTGAATTTGTTTCCCTGGAGTGGATGTTATTTTGGAACTTTCAACTGGTCCGAGTGAGCTAACTGATTCTTTAGCAATAAACTGTGACTACTGACAGCAGCAAGCAAAATATCAGGTGCGTTTTAATCATCCGTTTCTGCTTTCGAAATTGTCGGTTTAGTCGTTTTAACCTGTCAGATTAAAACAAGAAAACTGACAATTCCTAAGCAGAAGGGGATGATTAAAACGCACCTATTAAAAATATTGCGCCAAGATGTAGGCAACACGTAATAAGGGTTCAAAATGGCGGAGTTTTCTATCTTCTTTTGAAAGGCACTCAGAAAGCTGCGCAGTGCGACCATTCTCCGTATAGTAAAAGAAAATCAAAGTATGTGACTGTAAACAAATTCCAGACTTGGCTTTGTTCAGCGATTATGTTCATGTTTAGCTCTTTTTCGTTTGTGTTGTGGGTGTTGTAAGCTTTTTTGACGTCAATTCTTTGTTATCTTGCTTATATTTGTGATTTTTTGTGCTTTGATTTCAATTTAGTATTAAATTGTGCTTGTTAATTATTTTTTGTTGCACTATTTTATAATTGATGCACAAAATGTTAAACCGTCCCTGAAACATGTTTACAAAATGTGTAAAACAAAAGTGTGCACAGTATCTATACTTTTTCATTGACATTTATCATTATACCCCTCTCCACTTCATTGGTTTATGTTAACTTTGATAATATAACAAAAAAACATGTAACTACGTACAAATAACTTGAAAATCATTTATTAAAAAGAAATATTGAATTATAGCTAATTTAAATTAGGCGAGCAACAAAGCGTAGAAAATAACTATTTTTCTACGATTGTGACAGCTTTGTTGCTCGCCTAATTTAAACTAGATATACTTGTTTTTAATAAATGATTTTCAAGTTATTTGTACATATAGTTTGATGTTTTCTGTTTTATTATCCAAGTTAACATTGACTTTGAATATCAACTCCGTTTTGCATGATTAACTTAGATATAGACAACACCTTATACACTACTGACGACAACTGCAGTTTTTATATCTATTACTTAAAATAATGTGATCGTAGAAAAAAATCTTGTATGCATTTTGAGCGAAAAGTTCGTTGCCGCTGTCGACACATTGTCGCGCTTCGCTATGCGTCACGTAGCTTACTTTCTGTCTCAAGCGGCAAAGCATCACTTTTCGCTCTTAATACACAAATAGCTATTGTGTAAAAATTTATCGTAAGTAGTGCATAATGTGTTGTCTATATCTACGTTAATCATGAAAAAAGCAGTTGATATTCAAAGTCTATGTTAACTCTGTTCGATTATCTTCCCCCAACCCTTTTTAGTTAAGTGATCTCATCATATAGCTAGATTTTTATGAGTATCATGCCATGTTACCATTCCTCTCAACACGTCATAGCCCAAAAGCCACATACTTTGATTTTCTTTTACTATACGGAGAATGGTCGCACTGCGCAGCTTTCTGAGTGTCTTTTAAAAGGAGATAGAAAACTCCGCCATTTTGAACCCTTATTACGTGTTGCCTACATCTTGGCGCAATATTTTTAATAGGTGCGTTTTAATCATCCGCTTCTGCTTCGGAATTGTCGGTTTTCTTGTTTTAATCTGACAGGTTAGAACGACTGAACCGACAATTCCGGAAGCAGAAGCGGATGATTAAAACGCACCTGATATTTTGCTTGCTGCTGTCAGTGTCAGTGAATATTATTTTTGGAGTCACAGTTTATTGCTAAAGAATCAGTTAGCTCACTCGGACCAGTTGAAATTTCCAAAATAACATCCACTCCAGGGATACAAATCCAGGATACGCAGAAGACTGCTGTTTTATTATAGGCGGTTGTCATATATTGTATTATCCGAGTTGCGCAGTGTATAAACTGGAACATTGACATCAAAAGTGCCGACGCAGAGTGAGCGATCTGATTCTTTAGCTATAAACTGTGTCATAGGGTTGAAAATGGCCGCGCTCTCTGTTGGGCGTGTCGGACCTCTCTCTTGCCCCGTATAGTAATCAAAGTATGTGGGTCGGATACTATCGATAGTCGGCCCTATCGATAGTTTTCGATAGTCTCAAGAGTTACTATCGATAGTACTATCTAAACTATACCAATGTTGCAGATGATATTGAATTAATTAATCCGGGAATCCTTAGTGATTGCATGTTACTTTCATTTATTTATAAAGCAATAGATGGCAGCACAAAGAGGAAGCAGAGACACAAAAAACACGAGGAGGCACACTTGCGATTGTGTGCGTATATGTGTAGATTTAAAGAGTATATATTCCACATCCTGAACCGTACCTGTCACTTTCGGCTCTTCTATTTGTTCACTTGTAACTTTATATGGCGTATGGAAGGTGTATATATCTCGGTAAGATTAATATGCCATTTAGTTTTTTAAGTAATTAAATGTTGGAACCCTTTTACATTTTAGTCAAACTTAAATTTTTTTTACAGAAAACGTAATTAAAAATAAAAATAAATTTTCCGTTAGGTAAAGTATTGACATATT